TTTCAAAAAAAAAAAAAAAAAAAAAAAAGCTATTCAAGCCATGGTGAAAAAATGTAGAGGCACTTTTAAATGCATATTACTAAGTGAAAGAAACCAATTTGAAAAGACTGTATACTGTATGATTCCAGCTACATGACATTCTGGAAAAGGCAAAACTATGGAGACAATAAAAAGATCAGTGGTCATGAGGGGTTAGGAAGAAGGTGAGGTATGAGAAGGCAGAGCACAGAGGACTCCCAGAGCAGTAAAACTATTTTGTATAAAATATAATGCTAGATATATATCATTATACATTTGTCCACACTCACAGAATGTACAACCAAGAGTGAGCCCTAATGGAAACTATGGAGTTAGGGTGGTAACGAGGTGTCCATCTATGCTTGTTGACTGACAATGTCCTCCTCTGGTGTGTGGTGTTGATAGTGTGAGAAGCTATGAGCTTGTGGCAGCAGAAGGTATACGGGAACTCTGAACTTCCTGCTCAATTTTGCTACAAACCTAAAACTGCTCTAAAAACTAAAGTCTATTTAAATAAGCATCTTTAGAGTAGCACTTAATGGACATTTATATTCAGCATTTCCCACAGGTAACTGGAAAACCATGCTCCAGGGAAGCAAAAAGTACCTTCTGGACTAGATCTGGGGCCCTGTAATGTCCTAAGCTCCTATATGGGTATATTTTCAACCAATTTCCTTCTGAGTACTACATTTTCTAAGTTTAAAATGAACAGGAAAATAGTCAAAGCTTTTATATACTGCACTCCAATTGGTTTTATTAAATTATCAGCACTTATTGTTAATAATATTAATCAACAAGGAAAAAAGTTACCTTTTGAGTAACCTTCACAATAAGAAGAGCTGCTGCTTAGATGAAGATGTAAGAGGTCTTTTTTTCCCTTGGTGAAAACACGATGCTGATGGATGTCATTTTCATACAGAAAAGTATTCTGATAATCATAAAATGGGCAACTTCCATGTTTATGGAAAAGCAAAAGAATAGAGTTGAAAGAAGTACTATTTAAAAAGTAAAAAGCCCCAGCTTATATATATAATAAAACCTTAAGGAAATAGGGGTATTCACACTGATTTAATATTTGCTTTAGCCTTGCTGTGGACACATTCTAAACTACAAATAACTAAGTAGTATTATGGATTTAAAAGAAATAGGTAACTGGGCCAACACTGATATATTCTTTCTTTAAAAGATGGAGCATTATCTTTTAAGCTCATTGAAATATGATAAAATCAAGGTGGTTGTTTTTTCAATTTTAATTGAACTTATTGGGGTGACATTGGTTAATAAAATTATGTAGGTCTCAGGTATGCAATACATCATCTGTAAAGTGTATTGTATGTATGTTCACTATCCTAAGTCAAGTCTCATTCCATCAAATCAAGGCCTTATATGTAAATAAACTTTTAGTTGTTCATCAATGAACTATAAGAGTTAAAATAGCATATGTGGCATTTGTTTCATTTTTAATGATGATTACTATATATAGGTATAGTTACAGTTAAAATAACATTTTCTATGAGTTGAGTAATATGTTAATAAACCTGATATTTATGCAAGCTCTACATAGTACCATCACAAAAACTCATGAATTATGCTTAATCAAAAAGATCCTCTTGTGTCAACTATGATTATGATTTTTCTAAGAAAATAAGAAGCTCTAAGGGCATCTCCAAACCCAAAAGCAAAACTATTGCCAAACCACCATCAGTAACTTTTCTGTCTTCTCTAATACCATACATGGAGGTCAAAGCAAAGATAAGACATATAAACCACTCAAATTAGAGAGCAGAAATGCCATTCGGTTCCTTAGGAATATAGTAGTGGATATAAACTTCTAATCTACTGACCAGAAGGTCTACTGCCTTCTGTCAAATGTAAGAAGCACGTTTGCTGCTAGACATCTGGGTCTATGTGTCCAAACGTGGGGCTTTTCACGTCTGAGTGCACGGCATAGGCCGGATGCTGTTCCAAAATGCTGACGGGGGCCTAAATTGATCTGAACATATAAACAAAGAATTGGCTTAGGGGTTATTTAATGGAAACTTCATTCTTCTGTTTAACCAGTTTAATACTTGTAGTCAAAATGTCTGAAATCCTAGCTAAAGTTTCAACAGTGAAGTCCCTTGGAGTAATTTTAACATTACTAAAAAATATAGCTAGATATTATTTTTCATTTGGAAATGACAAAAATCCACAAAAAAGTTGCAAAGTAAACCATTATACTTAATCTATTTAATTTATCACAAAGTAAAATCTGTCTAGGAAGTAATCTATAGTCTGGGAGCTCTTTTTGTCTCTCAAACTAATTATTAATGTACCTGTTTTTATTTAGGGTTCCCAGCAAACTGAAGTGAGGAAAATACAGAGTTATCTTTTAAGAAAAGAACAAAGCTCATATGACATATAATGGCCTTGGTCAGCCATTTCAAATAAGAACAATTCCTAAATTCAGAAGCACCTATTAAATAATCCAGATATTAGGTAAGAGTAGAAATATATCATTAGAGACAATTTTCTAATTATTGAATGTTTACAAATATTAGCAATAGTGTACACAAATTTAAACATGGTTTTAGTAAAATATACTCTAACATTTAAGTTATTCATTTTTTACACTATGGATATCTCATTTAAAGAGATAGCTGATTTTTTTTTTTTTGGTGGGTTTTTAATAAGCCAGCAAAAGTGAATTAGAAAGACCTTACCTTTGTTGACTCTCTGCATCAGCTAACTCAACTTTGTAAGGCATGATGTTCCCCCGTCCTTCAAATTCCTCTTCATAAGTCTTATTAAATGCATGTTGCATATTAGTATGTTCAATAAATGTATTATATATTAACCAGCTAACTTGTCAGTAATATTTATAGAATTTTCTTCTACAAATAATGTCATGAGCTCTCTGACTATATGGCATCAAGAACTTAACAAGCACACACACACATATATATGCATGTGTGTGCATAGTTGTTTGTTCAATAGCTTAAATTTATCCAAAGGAGAAATAATAATGTTGCTAAGTAATTCCTACATTCTAGCATTTTTCTTTGACAACCACAGTAATACAAACATCAAGGATAAGTGGTTTATTCAGCTACTAGATGATTAGAAAGTCAGAAAGGCACTGAGTTTGTCACAATTTAAACCTTCAGCCTGGACCTCTGGATCTGACTGGCTTTAGCTTCAGCCGATTCTATTTGTTGTCTTGTAAAGACCTGTATTCAAGTTATTATTATACTAAATCCATTAAATCATCACACAATTTTTCCTTTAAATAGAAAATAATATTAAATAACATTCAAAACCTAAATGTATACAGATTTTATTAAATAGATACCATACTAATATTTGTTTAAAAGCCTGATATATAAAGAACTAGTACAACACTAAACTAGATTTCTATAAGTTAAAAAAATAAAATGTCTTTTCATCTCCCACACTGGATGCTTCCAAAAAAATGATGCATTATTAATGCAGAAACTTACTGTCAACACTAAAAAATAGTACTGTTTTATTACTATCAGCATGAATAAATTCAAACACATGTAAATTTCCCATTAAACTATGTTGGATTATCAAAGAAGTCTTGTTGAAAATAATATGCAGTTGCAACTATATGTTATGAATTTCCTGTTTGTTAAGTAATATGACTGGTCATTATGCACTTACATCATCCAGTTCGACTATTTTTACAGAGATTTCAGGTCTCTCTGTGCTTAATTCTTCTACTGGCAGTAAAAGAGCTCGGCTTTGTACTTTGGTCTCCTCAACTAGGAAATAAGATTGGAAAATAATATCATCAAGGCATATACTTTATCTGGTAATTTCCTATCTTCAAATAACATAGCGAAAAATTAAAGAATAATATTCTCTCATCCATCCACACACATATAGAAATGCTGCCAATTTTCCTAGTTCAATTAAAATATACATCTTCTTAACATTCAATTTTTAAATGAAAGTATATCTAGAAAATGGGGGGAAAGTATGCATTTTGAACAGGAGATAAAGGGTACATAGTCCAGTTGAGAATGATCCAGTAAAGAAAAACAAAAGCAGATGCTGATTAATGCTTAGTGTTTAAAACTTTAAATAATAAATTTTGAAACTGTCTAATCAAGACTGAACTAACCATCACTATCTTCATCACTTTTATTCTGAGAACTCTGTGCCTCACTAGTGGTTGTACACTGAGGTATGAATGTATCTGGTAGCATGTTGCGAAGTTGCTCCTGTGGAGTTCTACAAAACAAGGAGGAAGCAATTAGAAGACTAAAATACATTACCTAAAACTTCCTAGACAAGATATTGATTTATTTCGCAAAGGAGTAAGTCTACAAAATTAATAATGAAATCATAGTTGTACCTCTAATTCATGGAAGAAAAGCATGATTGCATAACAGAATCTTAATCCACTAAAATAATTTTGTAAATCAAATTAACATCACACAAGACTTTTTAATTGCATATCCCACTGTTTTTGGTTAGGATGAATAGTAAAGTTATGATAGAATCAGTGTTCTTGAAAAAAGCCACATGAAGCCCATTAAGCATACCACATTGTTTAAAAAGCTAATTTATGAATGTGTGTTGTGTCCCACAGCTTTGGCATTATGTTGCTAAGTTCTAAGAGAATCTGAAGACATTATTCCAAGCTTCCACCAAACCAGTAGGGTAATAAAATAGGGTCCCACGATATGAATATGAAGTGTTCTGACGGTGGCATCTGTCATCCAATTAACAATGAGGTTTGATGTGGCCCATCTCATATGGAAGGCAATGAAGCACAGGGATTCTCAGAGGTCAAGAGTGTTCCAGAAATCATTCCCAAGTTACTGGGGAGCTAGTCACTTTTTAAACAAGAATAAGAGTAACTACAGCCCTTGTAGACCATGCAAGCTCATGAAGTCCCCATGTTAAGGTCAGGGCCTTCTTAATGATATTAATAGGTAACATTGATGCATAACTTAAAATGTACCAGGCTCTATTCTAACTACTTGGGGCATTACATTTTAATAGATGCATTAAATAGTCACTAGTATTATTTTAATTTTACAGATGAAGACACTGAGGCACAAAGAAGTAAACCAACTTGTTCAAAGTCATTCAGGTAATAAATGCAGAAGAGGAATTTGAACTCAAGGTGTCTGCCTCCCAAGCCCATGTTCATAACCATTAATCTATATAGTCTTCCTCTCAATTGGCAAAGGCACTAAAAGTTGACAGTTTCCTGGCAATCTATGGCTATGTGTATTTTCCCAATACAGGTAATGTATACATCAGAACACTCCAAAATATTTATGTTATTCAGCTTTGTGTCCAAACAAATTTGATGAACATGTCATTTTATGTCCATAATTTAATTAAGTGATGGAAATATTAAAGAGTAAAAGTCAGAGACAAATTGGCACTTGGCCACCAGAAATCTCTTTCCAGTTTGGCATGGATATACTGTCAAACTGGAAAGTTTTCAATCATAGATACACATAAATGTACTATTATCCAGATACTTCTTCATGAAGTGAAAACATCTAATTTTGTGAATAAAGCCCTGGACCAAAGACTGACAGAGCCTAGATAGTAAAGTATTAGAGCCTAGATAGTAAAGTATTAGAGCTAAGGCCCTATAGATTGTTTATTATAAACTCAGTATTTTCCAGATGAGAAAATGTGGGCCAAGAGAATTTAAGGGATCTGCTTCAGTGTGTCTGAAAGGCTGGAGCCCTGCTCTAGTATGCCTAGAAGTGGGACCTCCACCCCAGTTGGTCTGGAGGGCAGAGTATAGACAGAGGGGATAGTTCTCAAGACTTGAGGTCCTGTAGAATTTGCCCTCGGGTTGCAGACTAGCTCAGGACCTGTTTCTTCTTTCCTATTTCTCCCTTTTAGAATGGGAATATCTATTGTATGCTGATTTCACAGTTAGAGAGCAACTTGCCTCAGAATGAATCATACACTGAGTCTAAACCATACCTGATTTAGATGATATTTAGATAAGAATGTGGACTTTAGACTTTTGAGTTGGTGCTGGAATGAGTTAAGAATTTTAGGGCAATTAAATGGAATGAACATATTTTGTATGAAAGTAGGACAGGATCTTTGGGGGCCAGGAGCAGAAAGCTCTGTTCTGAATGTCTGTGTTTTCACAAAATTCATATGTTGAAATCCTAACCCCCAAGGTGACGGTATTAGGAGGAAAGGCCTTTGGGAGGAGATTAGGTCATGAGGGTAGAGCCTTCGTGAGTGGGATTGGTGCCCTTATAAAAGAGACTGGAGAAAGCTCCCTAGTCCCATCCGTATGTGAGGACACAATGAGAAGATGGGCATCTATGAACTGGGAAGCTGGCTTTCTCCTGACACTGAATCTGCTGGCACCTTTCTCTTGGACTTCCCAGCCTTAAGAACTGTGAAAAATAAATGTTGTTTATTAATATTTAATGTTAAATTTTAAACAATTTATGAAATGGTGAATCTAATATATTAGTCTTTGAATAAAATATATTTGAATACTATTAATAAAATTATAAAATTAAAGGTCTAATTAAACTTAAAATTAGATTCTGAAAAATATAGCTTCAGAAGTTTATGCTAATGTCAAATGTCTGAGAGCAATACCTTCTCTCAGTAGTCTTTCATTTATCACATTATTTTGCTATTATTCTTAAATTTTATACTGTTTTGTGCCTTTTCCCACATTTACATTTACATTTCTCAAGGAAAACCCTAAACTAATGATGCATCATATACATAAGTAGAATTAAAATTCTTATTAGAACAGTAGAAGCTTCATGGGGATTTAATATTGCTTTAAAATTATTTATGCAAATGTCAAGCATACATATGAGATTGCTACAAAAAAAGCATGTCACACAAGCAAAAAACATAAATAGCTTTTATTATTTCTTATTAATAATGCAAAAAGTCAGAAAATACCTTCTGTGTTTTTTAAGCCATAATTTTTCCATGTAGGATATACTGTCTTCTTTAAATTCAATATGAAGTGGTTCTCTCCAAATTTTCAGGTTGGTTTGTACTTCACATTCTTCCAATGAGTCTATAATAATAAACATAAAATACAGAGTTAATGTAACCTAGTCTATAAATTATCATAACTTCTCTCAAGATATAGAACTCACCAAATATGCTCTGATAGTTATCTGTAATCAACAATTCTAGGCTTAAATAATGCAAAAGAGATAAACATTGATGATTTATTAAATGACTGTATAGACAGCGTTCTTCAATAATCCCTTGAAATTAAAGAATTTTATGATTCAAAAGGTTTTTAAAAGCTACTGATTTTAAATGCTAAAGATAAATACAAATATACTCATTATATAGTCTATAAACACACACAAACATAAAGGTATGTATTACAGCCACTGACAATAATGCTTACACATTATGGGAAACAGAAAAGAAATAACTCAGGTGGTGGCACCTGGAGGAGACAACTGTCTTCATGAATTTATAGCCACACGGCAATTGACTTCCAGATGCGTCAGATGTTTCTGAAGTACTACTAAATTAAAACCACTATTCAGAGATATTTAAAACGGATGGAGATTTCTGGGAAAGAAATAACTCGAAAACTTGGAGATTCAAAGCACATTACTAAACTAAATGGCCAAGGAACATATGAAAAGATACTGGATGTCATCTGTAAGGAGGTGAACAGATTAGAAAGGCCACTTTATTTCTGTCAGACCAGCAAAACTTTTAAAATCTGACTATTTAAATGTTGGTGATAATGGGAAGCAACCAAACCTTTCACACTCTGCAGGTGAGAGTGTAAACTGATTCAAACACTTGGGTAAATTACTCAGCTTTGTCTGGTGTACTTGAAGATAGGTACACCTGGTGACGCAGCTATTCCACTCCTGGGAACAGACATCCTAGAAATGTGTGCACACGTGTTCCAGGGGACCTGTGCAAGAATATTCGCAACAGCACCGTTCGTAATTTCAAAAATGAGAATCGGCCCAAATAACCATCTACATTTAAATAGGTAAATAGTGTTATATTCATATAACAGAAGACTATGAAGAGTGAAAATGAATGAAATACAATTATGCACATTTTCATGGATAAATATCGCTAAATGGTATTCAGTAAAATAAACAAGTTGCAAAAGAGTACATATACTAGCTTTCCACTTACAGAATGTTCAAATATATGCAAATTTAACATTTTGTTGTTTAGAGATACACATGTGCAATAAACTGCATGAAAATCAAGGAAATAAAAAAAAACCCCACAAAATTCAGGCTAGTGATAATCTCTTAGAGGGAAGGAAAGCGGGGAGAGAACAGATGCTTAGTATTTTGTTTTTCTTTATAAGCTATATAAATTTTATAAACGTTCTTTTGTATCTATTTAATATCTTAAGGAAAGGAAAATATTTACAAACATATACATATAATACACACAAACATATATATAATACTCTAGAGCAAAAAAAAATCACATATTATATCAACAAAAGTTCTCATCTTAATGATTCCTCCACTGAAACTACACTATTGACCTTACTTCTTTATTTTAAAACACTATCCCCTCCATTGGTTTTTATGATCATGTACTTTACCAATTTTCCACCTATATCTATGCCACCCTTTATCTTCTCTTCAGGCTTGTCTTTCCAATGTAATTTCTCTCTAGCCTATTGTGCTAGAATATTCTCCCTGAAAAATATGTACCAACATGTTAACACTGGTTATCTCCAGATTGTAGGATTGGGTTATTTATATTTTCTTCTTGGTAACTTTTTTATTATAACCAAATTATTTTAAATAATCATAATGTTATTCCTATAATATAGTTATTTCTACAATAAAGAACAAAAATTTTTAATTACTTGCCACAGTGAGTTATCACTTCACACCTGTCAAAAAGGCTGTCATCAGTAAATCCACAAACAAGTTTTGGTGAGGGTGTGGAGAAAAGAAAACCCTCATGCACTGTTTATGGGAATACAGATTGGTGCCACTGCTGTGGAAACCAGTACAGAAAGTTCTCAAAAAATAAAAAATGCATCTGCCTTATGAGCCAGTGATTCTCCTTTTGGGTATATACCCAAACAAACCCAAAACAATAATGCTAAAGAATATATGGGCCCTTATGTTCATTGCAGCATTATTTACACCAGCCAAGATATGAAAGCAACCCAATAGATGACTGGATAAAAAAGCTGTGGTACATATGCAATGAAATAGTACTCAACCATAAAAAAGAATGAAATATTACCATTTGGGACAACATGGATGGATCTAGAGGGTATTATGCTAAGTGAAATAAGTCAGTCAGAGAACGATATACCATGCGATTTCACTTATATGTGAAATCTAAAGAACAAAATAAATGAACAAACGAAACTGAAACAGAATTATAGACACAGAGGACAGATGGATAGTTGCCAGAGGTGGGGTGGGCAGGAGGCATTGAGGGACTAGGTGAAAAAGGTAAAAGGATTAAGAAGTACAAATTGGTAGTTACGAAACAGTCATGGAGATGTAAAATACCACACAGGGAATGCAGTCAATAATACTGTAATAACTCCGCAGAGTCCCAGGTGGGTACTGGAAATAGCAGGGGCAACAATTTGTAAGGTATATGATTGTCTAACCACTATGCTATACACCCGAAACTAATATAAAATAATATTGAACGTAAACTGTAACTGAAAAATAAATTTAAAAATACAGTGGTCCCTCAGTTTTCTAATGTAACCCGCTCTGGAAGCCCGTGGGAGCTCTGAAACGCTGGAAAACCGAGGGACCCACAGCCAACAGCCAGGCCTCAGGATGCTGCCCTCAGTGGAGGCCGCACGGCCTGTTCAACTTCAGAGGCGGGTTCGAAAACCAAAGCATTTACTCCGGGTTTACAGCGTTCATAACCCGAAATGTTCAGCAACGGAAACCCTCGAAAACCGAGGCACCACTGTATTTTAAATGGTTTTCCACTTCTTTGACCTAATCTGATTTATCAAATCAGTCCTTCTTTTACTTTAAATGCTATGTCCTTCAAAGTGGACAATCAAAAGGAAGATTTAGTCCCTTTCAGAGTAGAATAGTAGAAAGTATATCAAAACAAGAAAGTTAAAATAAAAGGCACATAAAAACATAGTCAATGAGAGTTATATTGAGGTATGTAATAAAGAGAGTATACAAATTAAGTTCTAGAAATAGTAATAAAATTAGTATTTCATAAAAAATGTAAAAAAATATTTAAAGGAGAGAAAATTGTTTAGTAAAAACCCCACTTCTAATGGGAAGATAGTATTCGATACCTCAATGTTAGAAATTATACTGTTATAAAGGAGGAACAACCAGGAGAGTTCCTTCATTGAGAAAGAGTAAAATAGCAGTAATAAAATTGGATGCTGTCAACTAAGATACATTATTGAAATTTATTACCTAACATTTTATTCTCAATGAAAAGCAATTCAAAGCCTCTACAAGATTCTGAGTAATAAAATTAATAAATCAAACACTTTTTTAAAGGATGGTTTTCCTCAAGAGATACTGGGAAACTCAAAGCAAAGATGCTCTACGCTTCAGTCATCTAGTTTTTCAATGTCTAGAAAAAGGACATGAAAATCATCAAGGAAAAATAAAAACAAGAAGTCTTTCTTCAAAAAGAAAGAAAAACAGAAGACTAATCAATTCTACCCTGAAGTTCATGGCAGTATTTGAAATACATTTTTCAAGACAAATATAAAAAATTCTCGACTTCTCTATCTCAAAGATTCTCCTGTTTTATGTGCTGTAATTACAATCCAATAAAGAAATGGTTGTCCTGACAAAAGCTTTCTTCTAGGGGAATGGGAGCTGAAAGAAACCAATTCTCTATTCGAGAGCCCAAATTTACGTAGGAAACAAACACAAATATTCCCAATGCCCAGTTCAAGGGTTCTATAAATATTAAACCACCAACCAATGGTCATACAGCGACCATTCTTTTGAGGAGTTATATCAAACTGCTATCCCAATGTTAATTGTTTTGAATATTGCACTTACATTCACAGAGAAAGGAGTTAGGTTCAACTATACTTTACATTTGTTTTATAAAAATAGCTATACCTGGTTTTGCTGCAGGTGAGTTCTGTTTCCCACTGTCGTTATGATGTCCAGTTCTCCATTCATTTAAAGCTTCCTGAAAGGACTGGGCAGAAGCTCCTTCATCGAATGACCCTTCACACAAGAGCCTCTCCCTCGGGTTTCTACATTCTCCTTCTTGTGTTGTTGAAACTTCCATCTAAACCAATTAAAAATGTATCTAAGTATGTGTTGTTAGAGTTTCCGTATCATAAACCGCAGAGGCATTGTAAGTCACATTTTTAAAGCTTAGAATAGAATGTTTTAAAGTTGTACTTATTTATATGTTTTACTGGTTTCTTTAAAATTGTATGAGCAATTACAAATGGTCTCTTCATAAACTATTAAAACTGGAGTCTACAGGACTGAGGATTTATCATTATGATATTCACCAGTGTTCTCCCTGGAAAGCGACAACAGCCTTGTATGTGGCCCTCCTACTTCTCCAGTCTCCTGCTCCTGCAACCTCCCCACAGCAGAAAGAGCAGTTTCAAAACATGCAAATCTGACCATGTCAGGCCTCTGCTCCAATCCCTCCACTGACTCTCTATGAAGCCCCCAGACCCTACTAGGACTTACAAGGGCCTGCACAGCCTTGTACTCCCCACCTTCTACTTCAATTCCTTCATTTCACCCCTTCACTCAAGCCGCTCCGGCCAAACTTCTATTTCTGCAGTTCTGGAGCCCACCCAGCACGTTCCCGCGGTGGGCTTTGCACTGGCTGCACCCAAAGCCTGGAATGGTCCCTCTCCACAGCTCCGCACAGCCATTCCACTCCTTCCATTCAGTCTCTGCGCAAACGTCACCTACTCAGAGAGGAGGCGATGGCCCTGCTGATGGCCTTAAAAATATAGACTCTCCCCACCCCCCACTTTCTAATCCCTTATCTGCTTTATTTTTCTCAAAGTAACTTATCTCTGTTTATTTCTTTATCATCTCTCTCTCTCCCCATTAGAATGTAATGAAATCGGGGAATATTTTGCCCCCTCAGTGCCAAGAGCTGTGCCTGGCTCAAAGTCGTGCTCATTAACAAATGAATGAATGAATGAATGAAATGCATATGAAACATTGCATGCTTCTTAGTGTGATGATGGGAGAAAGGATGAATTCAGTACAAGAATATAAATCCATTACAAACACACACAAAAAATAAAGGTAGTATTTGGCAGTTATCCACTGAATCAGAGAAAACATTCAAATTAGCCATAGCAAAATAAATTCCACACCAATGGTGAGTTATGAAATGTGGATACCTATACTGATATCAAATTGTTAAATCTCCAGTGTATCTTCCAGATACAAAAGTAGAATCCTTTATGTGCAGTCCTTAATTGCAAAATAAATATGCAGATTGTTAGAGTACAATTGAGAGAAGATCATTAAATAAATGTATAAAACTTTAAATATAAAGAAAAAGCACCTGGGAACCTGCCTGACACTATGCTAGCTGTTGGCCACAGAAACACAGGTTAGTAAGTCCACAACAGAAACAGGTATCTAACTCAGATAAACAAGAATTCTATGGGCAAAAAGTGGCAGGGGTAGGATTCCAGAGAGAGGGGATGATACACAGACAAAGACATGGACCCAAACAGCACAGTGGCATGAAACTAAAAGTAGTTCATATTGTTATAGCAAAAAGTGGGATATGAAAAAATATAAACGGTGGAAAGATGAACAGGGGGAAGATCATGAAAGTTACTGCCTGCCATAGAGAGAAAATTGGACTTAAACTTATTGGAAACACAAAGGCACTGAAGAGTCCCACACAGTCGTGTGGGAAAGAGAGAAATCAGGGAATAGTGAGCTTGGATGCAAGGACACCAAGGAAAATGTTACAGACATTTGGCAATATCAACATCACAAATGCATAATCCTCTTCAGTTAGGAATCTTGGAAATTTATTATGTAAATATACATATATATGCAAAACAACATTTTCAAAAACATTCTTTATAACTATAGCTTGTACTGACAAAAGATTGAAACAGTAAATGTTGATCAGTGGAAAATAGATTTTTAAAAGTCCAATAAATCGAGTATTTTATAGCCACAGTATAGAATGAGAAGGTTCTAGACTGTATTTATATGGGTGTCAAAATATTTTGTTACGTGTAAAAAGCATGTTTGCAGAGCAGGATGCTAAGTATATTAATACTGGTTTCAATAAATATCTACATACAAAATTGAAAATATTGATTCCTAGAAGGGGAGAGAATGAAATGAAATTTACACTCTATAAACTTGTACCTCAAGAAAAAGCTAATTTCAGTATTTAGATTAACTGTAAGAACAGGAATCACCAAACATTCAAGAAAGTTTTTAGATGGTAGACTGCATGGGACATAGTAAATGATCAGACAAGCAGAGGAAGGAAAGAAAAGACTGTGAAAAAATAACTGTTTTGCTGGCCTGGGAAGCTGGAAGATAGGCTGACACTAATAGTAATATCTATAGGTTTTGGAGGAGAAATAATGAATTTAGTTTGAAAATACTAAGTTTTAGAAGTAAGTGGGAAGGTAATTACAGGCATCGCGTAGGCAGTATGTATGTGTGTGTCTCTATGTGCACTGCACTAATGAAGAAGCATTGAAAACTCAGTGACAGGGTTTAAGTGGGCAGTGACTGCAGTAGCTCCTCAGGGCAGCTCCTTTCCAAGCAACGAATCAGAGATAGAAGACACTGCATTTTATAGCTATGCCTTTGGAATACTTGGCTTGCACATAGTGGTGTCAGGATAGAAAAAAGCCAGCAGACTGTACATCGGCTCTTAAATGTTTCAGCCCAGAACTGTCATATGTTGCTTCCACTCAGAGCCCAACATGACCCTGCCCATTCTAAAGGGGCTAGAAAATATGATGAATCAGTGCTGTCCATTCATCAGTGACTCCTCAGAAGCACCCGTGGCCGGTCTGTCAGAACACAAAATCCATGCAAATATGCTGACTTTCCTGGGCAATTCAAGCAGTTCCTCTGCTGTAAAGAGGTCCTCCTGGCACAGAGCACATTTCCTTTTATGTTCTGAGAGCCTGGGTTCAGAGCTCAACAGATGGATGAGGTTCAAGCCTCACTCTGTCACCAAGTAACAAGCTGTGTGACTTTGGCCAAGTTATGCACTATTTCTGAACTGCAGTGAAAAGGTGAGTATCTGAGGATTACGTATTACATAGATCAGAATAGATTCAATGACATGGAAGCATAGATGAGACTGATGAATGTCAGAGGGATGGAGGAAGGCGGGTGGGTGGAGGGGGAGAGAGTAACCAAAGAATTTATGTGCATATATACACAACCCAAGGACATGGACAATGGTGGGGAGAGGGACTGGGGAGGGGGAAGGAATGGGGTGGAATGGGTCATTGGGGAGAAAAAGGGACATCTGTAATATTTTAAACAATAATAAAA